ATGGCTCCCCTACCCCGCCCCCAGCATACTCAGGGACACACTGTGGTTTCATTAACATCCATTTATTTCATTAGGTTACATTTACACAGTAGAGTGTCAACCACAAAGAACAAAAGAAGGGTAAACCTGCTCCTCAAATGGGCTTAGGGGGAGGGTTGTTGTAATTTTCTTGGGGCTTTCTGCCTGACATCTGCACCATGGATGCAGGTAAGTACCAAATTGTTCCTGTCACACAACAGTCTGCAGTGCACTGTCAGGAAATGTCACCTGGTTCCAACGACTTCCCAAGGAGAATGGTCTCATGGATTCTGGATTCCTGGGCAGCACTTAATAGCGGTCCGAGTTGCCTGTCACAGATATAGTGGCCATAGGAGAAATACCAGGAAACACATGCATGTCTCTGGCTGCAAAATGAGAAGAAAAATGTCACATTGTCCTTTGTTACGCAGCCATTGTGCCGTTACGTTAAAGAACATGCATCAAACAGACGTAAGATCAGGCTAATGTAATAATTGACACAGACACACAGTGTTCTGACAATGGGAACTCCAGGGCCAGGACTGAAAAGTTAAATATGGAGCCAAGAACCTCTTCTTTTCTTTTTATCCCTTTTTTTTTTTTTAGAGGGTATGTGTTTTTTGGGGGTTTTGTTTTTGTTTTTGTTTTTGTTTTATTTTGTTTTGTTTTTCAAGACAGGCTTTCCCTGTGTATTCCTGGCTGTCCTGAAACTTTCTCTGTAGACCAGGCTGGCCTCGAACTCACAGAGATCCGACTGCCCCTGCCAGTGTGTGTGTGTTGGGGTGGATGCTGGTGCCATGCATGATTCTTAAGTGGAAACCTGCCACCACATGGGACCTGGGGATCAAACTCAGGAGGTCAGGCTCTGTAGCCCCTTCTTTCCCAGGCTTCAGCATCTCTTTAGTCTATAGAGCACACAAGCTTCTTGACCACGGATTTGTAAGAAGTTCAAAAGTGAGCTGGGCATTGGTGGCACACGCCTTTAATCCCAGAACTCCGGAGATAGAGGCAGGCAGATCTCTGTGAGTTCAAGGCCAGCCTGGTCTACAGAGCGAGTGCCAGGATAGGCTCCAAAGCTACACAGAGAAACCCTGTCTCGAAAGAAGAAGAAGAAGAAGAAGAAGAAGAAGAAGAAGAAGAAGAAGAAGAAGAAGAAGAAGAAGAAGAAGAAGAAGAAGAAGATGTTCAAAGGTGTTTGTGGAGACAGCAGGAAAAGCTCTACTCCGCCAATCACTGTACCAGAAAAGGATGTTGAGGCTGGTACCAGAAAAAAAGCCAGCTTGGGAAATAGAAACTAGTGTCTCCATTTGTGACTTTAGGTTATGTCAATCCACTGAATTGGAAAACTCCCTTTGATGTCTTGTCTTGCTGAGGACATACAGACAGAGACAGGTATTCCCAATGGTGTGGAGGCCCGGATGGGAATGTAGAGAGCCTTTGGCTGTGGTGGTAAGTAGTAACTTCCATGAAATCAAAAAGGGGGATTGAAAAAAAAATCACTGCTAGATCTGTGCATACCTGGGTGTGGTGGTGCACACCTTTAGTCCCAGCATTCCAGAAGTATTTGCAGGTGGATCTCTGTTAGTTCAAGGCCAACCTGGTCTATGTAATGAGTTCCAGGCCAGTCGGGGCTATATAGTTTAGTCTCAAGACAAAATTAAAAAGATGTATCTGGTGCCCATCGAAGTACAACACTGAGGTAAAGATCAAAGAAAGACTCCTACCTATAATGCCAGCACTTGGGAGGCGGAGGCCAGATGCTAACAGAGAGCTACAGTATCCCCAAACAAACAAGATATGGGAGTCTCCATGTTGTAAGATAGTAGAAAAATCAACACATAGGCCTAGGTGATGGTGCAAGCCTGTAACTCCAACCCTAGGGGGACTGGGGCAGGAGGATCATGAGCTAAATAGAGGCCAGCCTGGGGTATGTAATAAGTTCCAGACCAGCATAGGCTACATAGCAAGACACTGTTTCAAAACATTAAATTTTTGTGTGTACATAAGTTACATTATTTATTTATTTTTGTTTTTCAAGATAGGGTTTCTCTGTGTAACTTTGGAGCCTATCCTGGCACTCACTCTGTAGATCAGGCTGGCCTCGAACTCACAGAGATCCACCTGCCCTTGCCTCCCGGGTACTGGGGTTAAAGGCATGCGCCACCAATGCCCGGATAAATTACATTTTTTAAAGAGAGGTTTAATTTACATATTTTTATGTGCATTAGTGGTTTTGCCTATGTGTATGTATGAGAGTGTCAGGTCTTGGAGTTACAGTTGTGAGCTGCCATGTGGGTGGTGGGAATTGAACCCAGGTCCTTTGGATGAGGAGCCAATGCTCTTAACTTCTGAGACATCTCTCCAGCCCCTATAAATTACATTTTTGAAAAGCAATCCACCCGGAGCCATGGCAGATCCCTGAAGTCACAGAAGTTTGTAGGTGTCCTAAAAAGAGACATTCTCTCCACCCATCCACAGCTGGAGTTCACTGTGTGTTTTTCTGAGGGGGGTCCCTGCAGGTGTCATACAGGGAAGTGAAACCCCCTCGAAGAGATAGGAATGAAAACCGGGTACAGATTGATTTCAGTTTGGATAAGATTTTGGGGCATCTAATAACAGGCAGTTTATTCCCAACGTAGTTAAGTCCGGTATAATTCGGAAAAAAAGTTCCCTGGTACCTGGCGGTGGTGAACATGCCTTTAATCCCAGCACTCGGGAGGCAGAATCAGGAGGATCTCTGTGAGTTCGAGACCAGCCTGGTCTACAAGAGCTAGTTCCAGGACAGCCTCCAAAGCCACAGAGAAACCCTGTCTCAAAAAACTAAAAAAAAAAAAAAGAAAAAAGTAAAAAGAAAAAAGAAAAAGAAAAGAAAGAAAGAAAGAAAGAAAGAAAGAAAGAAAAACTTCCCTGGTATAATACTATCCCTGTTGCATAAAGGAAGAGTAATTATATTGAAACTCAACTCAGGTACATGCCAGTTCTTCCAAGAAGACGGGTTCTGGAGATAGGCTACCTGTGCTAGCTTAAGGGCCTAAGGGTCTGGCCTGGTCTCAGTCATACAGACAGCATAGAGGCTATTTGGGCTATTAGCCACCTCTGGCCATGGTTGTGGGAGCTTAGGAAGCCTCTGGTGATCAGGGTCATTCAGGTTAGTGGCCACTTCTGGTCTTGGTTCTAAGAGCTTGAGATGCCCTGGCCCAACAAGTAACACAGATCACCAGGGCTGTCAATCACTTCCAATTCTCAGGTTTCTGGATGGAAGAACCGGTTTTTCATCTTTCCCATCGCAAAGACCATTCCTGGTTTCCCTGGAGACCTCTGGGCATAAGGACTTTCTCCTGCTATGCTCCCAAATTTTCCCTTGTCTCTAGGCCTCAGGGCTCATTAGCTATTGAGACAGAATCCCATGTAGCTCAGACCAGCCTCAAACTTGCTATACAGACAAGGCTGGCCTCGAACTCTTGATCCTCTTGCTTTCACCTCCCAAGTGCTGAGATTCCATGAGCCATCATGGTTGGCTTAGTGACTCTCTCTCTCTCTCTCTCTCTCTCTCTCTCTCTCTCTGGGATATCTGATTTTTTCTAGAAAAGAGTGTCTCCCTGCTAAGACACGATTCCTGGGACTTAAATTGGAGAGACCTATATGCTTATCTCAGGTGCCATTGGGGGTTGAAGACTCTCACCCCTGACCCTCCCTTCAGAAAGGGAGAGTTGCCATGTATTGAACAGCCACAGCTTTTTAGGGACACATACAGAAAAGCAAAGTCCTCAGTGGGGCCCAAGGGTAACCCACATGTCAACCATGGTTTATGAACTGTCCTCAACATCAATCCCCTGGCGATGGCGGAAGAATAGCGACCTTTGTTCCCAGCAAGAATTTTCACGACAAGTTCTTCCAGGGTCAGCTCTGGTTTGGGCAAGCCTAGCAAAACAGCTTCAAAAGCTCAACATTGTGGACCTTCTCTTCAGGCAATGGCTAGCAGGCACCTACCTGTCCCCTCTGTGGTCTCTATGGCAACAGTGGCATGCACTTTTGTGGATTTCGTTCCCTCTGAGGGGCTGGTCCTGCTGGCTTCCAAGTCACTAAGTCTTTTACAAGTCTCTGGGACCCTTCTCAATCAGAAGTTGCTCTCCTTCACTCAAGCAATACCCACACACGCACTTTTCCTTTGACAGTCTCAAATGTTACCCACAGTTCCTCAAATACGGAATTAGAGCCACGAGGGCAAGGCTAAAAATCGTTGACTGCAAGAATTGTACCTGACACATTGTAGATGCTCAGGGAAATTTTGTTGGTTGCATGAATAAAGAATCCCACACTCTCGGGGCGTTGGTGGCGCACGCCTTTAATCCCAGCACTCGGGAGGCAGAGGCAGGTGGATCTCTGTGAGTTCGAGGCCAGCCTGGTCTCCAGCGCGAGTGCCAGGATAGGCTCCAAAGCCATGAGTGTCACAGACTGTTGGGATTTTTCACCCCTCTTTATTCCAAGTACCATTCTGGGATACAGTAGGTATGAAATAGACATATGTAGAGTGAACGAAAATAAATAAATAAATAAAAGAGATGACCCACATCCAACCAGACGTTAGCCACACCCACTCAGCTGTAGTCCAGCAGTTAACTCAGATGAGAGTACCAGGCTCACGTTGAAGCTATAGCTAGTTCATCAACAGTTTGCCTAGACTCTCCCAGCTAGGGGGCTGGGTGCAGGGTTTCTGATAGAGCCCTTGGGTAGCGTGCTCAAAACCCTGACACAATGCAATCCGTAGCAGTCAAATACCAACCATGCCCAACACCCAGGTGACACTCATTCTGGTTCAAAGGTCACCAACTCACTGGCCCAGCACCTCGTATCCACACTTACTCTCTAGTGCCAAAATGCGATGTGCCTCCCACTGTCATCCCATACCCACTGGGACGACTCCCACCCTCCCTCCGCACACCCCGCCCCCCTATACAATCACACTCATCCAACATATCACCTCATAGCCTCTTATCAGAAGCCTGCTGTCGGCGCCGACTTTTCTTGTTTTTCTTCTTGCCCTCTTCAGCCTTGCTCTCCTTCGCTGGGCCCTTTAGACGGGGCGTCCCATGCCCCACGGCGGTGCCCCCCTTGTCTGCAGTCTCCTCCCGCTCCAGAGAAAGTGGCTCTCCCGGACCTACTGGGGTGGGACACAGCTCCTGCCTGAGGATGCGGGCCACATCCTCTACCGTCCTGCCCTCTTTCCGCAGGAACAAATTGAGCTTGGTGAGGAATTCGATGTCCTGCCATTTGGGCATGTAGACCACTCTCCACATACCGCCCTTGCCCTTGATCTCCCTGGGAACCACGTCGTAATTGAGGTCCTCGGCCAACCTAATGATAGCTGCCTTGGATCTGTCTTCCTCTAGATAGCCCTGACTAGCCACTTCGAACTTGCCCAGTGGTTTAAGGGGGGCACGTATGATGTCTTCAAATTCTTGGTGGCTACAGTCCTCAGGGATCCCCAGGATCAGCAGGGACTTGTAACTGTCCACCTCCAAGGCCTTGCATCCATGTTCTAATAATGCAATGTCCTGGACTCCAAAAACCATCTTGCCCAGCTCCTTGAGGCAGCTGTACGCGCGCTGCTGCGCGGTCGAGCTGCCTCGAGAACCCACGGAAGGATCCAGGGTGCCGTGGGGAGCTGTTTCTGAGGGTAATGAGAAAAACGAGGCCTCACGGGCGAGGCTACTAATAGACCAAATTGGTCCAACCCAGTCAAGGGGATCTCAGCCTTCTGCAGCCTGCTCCCTCTGAGCTCACGCTTGGAAGTTCCTAGCAACTCACGTCGGCCATCGAATTGGAGCTGGGGTGGTTGTGGCTCTCAGGTCCTGGGCAAGGCCGCTCCAAAGAGAGTTTGATGATGCAGGACTCTCCTTAACTCCAGGGTGGCCTTGACAATCTCTGTGGACCCGAGACCGCTGGTCTCCCTGCTGCTGTTGCCTCCCTGAGTGTCGTGGGTGGCGACTTGGCAACTTGGAGTAGTAGGTCGCCCCTCGCTGCTGGCCCAGAGGTCGCCCTCACGTGCCCTGTGACAGAGTTAAAGACCAGGATGTGATGGTGGTGGCGGCGGCCCCTGCCCC